CCATATGTCAATGGACTTTGAAAATATTTGAACTTTTACAAAAACTTTAACGTAAATTCTAAGTCGAAAAAGGGGCATAATTCTGTCAAAATGCTTGATAGAGTTACCTCCTCCTGTTTACAGGTTGGGGTCATGATGTTGAACAAGTGTGCAAAGTTTCAAAGCCATATGTTAATGGACTTTGAAAATATTTGAACTATTACAAAAACTTTAACGTAAATTCTAAGTCGAAAAAGGGGCATAATTCTGTCAAAATGCTTGATACAGTTACCTCCTCCTGTTTACAGGTTGGGGTCATGATGGTGAACAAGTGTGCAAAGTTTCAAAGCCATATGTCAATGGACTTTGAAAATATTTGAACTACAGTGGAGCCTTGCTAATCCGAACCCTTCTAATCCGGAATCCTTTCTTATCCGAACGAAGTGTCCGGTCCTGATTTTATTCGTTCTATTTTCAATAGTAAAAAACCTTTCGGATCCGGAACCTGTCTACTCCGAATTCCGGACAATTTTTTCAATTTTTGTTCTTATTTTACCCTAAAATTTACCTCTCGGATCCGAACAGATTTTGCCAAATGTCACACCTTCATTCAAAAATAACAAATAATCGCACATCTGGCAGGTGTAAACATACACCAAACTGATGTGTTATTTCGCTTGATTAATGGCTGAAACGTATGATCTGGGAAGGTGTGAAAATTACACTTAGCTTGCCTTCATATCTTCTATAATTGCTTAATTGATTGTTTTTCATCACCTTCAATAAATATTTTGATATAATGCAATAAAAATATCTTTTAATCCTTTGTAATGGAATCAATGATACGTGATTAAGCAATGAAAATTAATAGAAACTGTCAGTGAATTCGGATAGTCGCTGAATCGGATAAGAGTAAACAACAATTGACAAATGCTGGTACGAATATTTAATTATGTCTCCGCCCCCTGTTTTACATCGTACATTTCGTAGGTGAACTTTGAACCCTTGAGGACATAATATTTTTTTGCTTATTTATTCATTTTCATTTCTTTATTTTTGTTTTCACATGTATTAGAATGAACGATCATAAGAGACTGCAAAAATATCTAAATTGCAATTTCAAATGCATTCCCGTTTTCTTTCCCTAAACTATTTTGCAAATACATGTAACATGAAAAAACATGTAAAAGAACCTTCTAATTCTGAAACCTTTCTAATCCGGAAACCTTTCTAATCCAAACTTTTCTTCTGGTCCGGACGAGTTCGGATTAGACAGGTTCCACTGTATTACAAAAACTTTAACGTAAATTCTAAGTCAAAAAAGGGGCATAATTCTGTCAAAATGCTTGATAGAGTTACCTCCTCCTGTTTACAGGTTGGGGTCATGATGTTGAACAAGTGTGCAAAGTTTCAAAGCCATATGTCAATGGACTTTGAAAATATTTGAACTATTACAAAAACTTTAACGTAAATTCTAAGTCGAAAAAGGGGCATAATTCTGTCAAAATGTTGATACAGTTACCTCCTCTTGACTTTCTACAGGTTGGGGTCATGATGGTGAACAAGTGTGCAAAGTTTTAAAGCCATATTCAATGGACTTTGAAATATTTTGAACTATTACAAAAACTTTAACGTACAAATTCTAAGTCGAAAGGGGCATAATTCTGTCAAAATGCTTGATAGAGTTACCTCCTCCTGTCTACAGGTTGGGGTCATGATGGTGAACAAGTGTGCAAAGTTTCAAAGCCATATGTCTATGGACTTTGAAAATATTTGAACTATTACAAAAACTTTAACATAAGTGGTTACGCCGACGCCGACGCTCGGGTGACTGCAATAGCTCTACTTATTCTTATCGAATAGTCGAGCTAAAAAGTACAAAGGCTTGTTATCAAGATGTTTTATCAAGTAAATCACTGCTGTATTATTATGAATGCATAAAATTGTCCCAAAAAATGCACAAACCTTTCAGTAGTTATGGAGATAACAGCTTACAAACAAAACTTTACCATGAATTTCTAAGTTGAAAAAGGGGAGAAAAATCAGCCTAAATGCAAGATAGAATTATGGCTCTTGGTGTGATAGTTATTGAGATATGTAAAACTTGCATGTAAACATTAACCAAGAAACTAAGTAGAAAAGGGGAGATAAATCAGCCTAAATACAAGATAGAGTTATGGAACTTGGTCAGTGAAATACAATTATGACCCTTCATGCATATGTGAAGTTTCAAATCAAAATCTCTGATAGTGATTGAGATATGTAAAACTTACATGTAAACATTAACCTAGAGACTAAGTAAACAAGAGGGCCATGATGGCCCTGAGATCGCTCATCTGTATATAGGCTCCCCCGAAGAGGGGCCAGTTTAAACCCAGGGCTTTTATTTGAACAAACTTGGAAGACACCAATTAGAAGATGTTTCATGATGTTAAGTTTTTACTACACACATATAATGAAAAACAATGACCTTCTACCCCACCCCCGGCAGGGCCAATTTTAACCCAAGGGCTTTTATTTGAACAAACTTGGTAGACACCCATAAGATGTTTCATGCTTAACATCTAAGCTCTAGCTCTTTGGGTTTTTTAAAAGGAGATTTTTTAAGTTTTTACTATACACATATAGTTAAAAACAATGACACCCCTGGGGCAGGGCCAGTTTTGACCCCAGGGCTTTTATTTGAACAATCTTTGTAGACACTTACTAGAAGATGTTTCATGCTTAATATCTAAACTCTAGCTATTCGGGTTTTTTCGAAGAAGATTTTTAAGTTTTTGATATACACATATAAGGAAAATCAATGTTCCCCTGGGGCGGGGCCAATTTTGACCCCAGGGCTCTTATTTGAACAAACTTGGTAGACATCCATTAGAACTTTATTCATGCTAAATATCTTAGCTCTAGCTCTTTGGGTTTTTTAAAAGAAGATTTTTAAGTTTTTACTATATTCATATAGGGAAAATCATCGACCACCTGGGGCAGGACAATTTCGACCCCAGGGCTTTTATTTGAACAAACTTGGTAGTCACCCATTAGAACATGTTTCATGCTAAATATCTTAGCTCTAGCTCTTTGGGTTCTTTAAAAGATTTTTTTTTAATTTTTTACTATATGCATATAGGGAAAATCAATGACCCCCTGGGGCGGGGCCAATTTTGACCCCAGGGCTCTTATTTGAACAAACTTGGTAGACATCCATTAGAACTTTATTCATGCTAAATATCTTAGCTCTAGCTCTTTGGGTTTTTTAAAAGAAGATTTTTAAGTTTTTACTATATGCATATAGGGAAAATCATCGACCACCTGGGGCGGGGCAATTTTGACCCTACAGTGGTTTTTTTTTCTTTATACAACTGTTACCCTAAAACGGTACTGTTCCCAATAGAAAATAGACATTAAAATTCCCAATTTCCAATGTTGAAATTCCCAAAATGGCTGTTCAAAATTTCCACAAGGCCAAAAGAAAAATCATTTAAATCCAACATATTCATATAAATCATCACTCAATAGTTCTACCTGGACAGTGGAAGCTGTTAGCTATCTTTATTCATGATGTCTATCTTATTTGTAGCTGAAAAAATGCATTAAAAAAATTCCCAATTTAAGTCAAAATAACGCATTTTTTTCCCAATCAGTCTGGTACCGGCACCATTCCCAAAGTAGAGAAAAAAAACACTGCCCTAGGGCTTTTATTTGAACAAACTTGGTAGACACTCACTAGAAGATGTTTGATGCCAAATATCTAAGCTCTAGCTCTTTGGGTTTTTTAAAAGAAGATATTTTAAGTTTTTTCTTTTGGTTGCCATGGCAGCCAGAGTTCTGCATGGAATTAAATTCTTTGAACAATTTTTAAAGGTGACTACCAAAGGAACATTCCTGTGAAGTTTGGATGAAATTGGCTTAGTGGTTTATGAGGAGATGTCATTTAAAGTAAAAGTTTACGGACGGACGACGAACGAAAAGTGATCACAAAAGCTCACCCTGTCACTTTGTGACATGACACAGATATGAGTGCTGTTCAGTGATCATTATTTATGACCACAAATATACATATGATCTTGAGATGTGACCTTCAATTACTACCCTAAGTACATGTGTAAAGATTCAAGTAAATATCTTTATAGACCTTTAACCTTTAACCAAATTTCTAAGATTTAAAGGGGCAAATAATTCTGCAAATATTGCAGGCAGAGTTATGCAACTTTGCAAACTGATGTACACTGTTACTATAAAAAAGTATTGTAAATTTCAATTAAATATCTCAAGTAATAATTGAGATATTTGACTTGACAAAAAAAAATTAACCAAAATTTCTAAGTTAAAAAGGGGCATAATTCTGTAAATATTGTAGGGAGAGTTATCCAACTTGTCAATCTGATGTACATTGTTACTATAAATAAGTATTGTAAGTTTCAATTGAATATCTCAAGCAATAATTGAGATATTTGACTTTACAAAAAACTTTTACCAACACAGACGCCGACGCGACTACAATAGCTCTCATATTCTTCAAATAGTCGAGCTAAAAATATAAAATTTGAGCATAGTATATCTTTAACCTTCAAGGTCAAGGTCATAAATGACCTTATGTAAATTTGAGTTTGAAAAAAAGAGAGAAAATTTCAATAATTTGACCATGGTCAAAGTCATTTAAGAGTGAAGGTTTGTATCTGTCTGGTTAACTTGAAGATCATACTAAAAGATTATTGTTTTTAAGTTTGAAGACAATCCATTCAAAAATAACAAATAGCCACTCATAGCACATTTTTAGAACTCTGCAAGTAAAATTTGTCTATTGTTTCAAGTTGATATCTACAATAATTTTTTCAGTTACGCTCCAAAAGAGATGTGAGACAGATGAACAGAAGGATGTTTATTCTCACATAAAAAAATTTTTTTCTCAACCCTTTCTTACCAGATTTGGGTAAAGTTATGCTATGAAATTACTGTAAAGATAGGTGTTATCTAAATTACAACAGTTTGAAGATAACAACATTTATATTTTAATATATACTTACAGCTTTATCTGCTCCTTTCTCAAACTGTGATTGTTGTAACCGTCTTTTAAGAAGTAATACTTCATCTTTAATTATAAAAAAAAAAATCACAATTACTTTGAAATTTGTGAAGTGTTCTTTTCTCCAATAAAAATCAAATCCATGAAGGAATAACAAAGTTATGTCAAATTTTAGCAAAATTCACTATTATATAATCAAAAATGCTAATTTGAATTCACCATAGGTTTCCACCTTCTTCAAGAGTATTTATCATATACAAACAAAATTATCAGACAAAACACTAAGGGAAGTGACATTATGCCTCTGAGCAACACCCACTTTGTTGTTATGTGCCATCTGCTGCTTTACTTCATAAGGTCAATATGTTCTTAACTTATTTTCCACAGATTCTAAATTATTGTCTTTTGGTTTTGATCAGTCCCTTATAGTTTTTCACGCCCCATTATTGAAAAATTACTGACTGTGTCCGATTGTTGCACTTGGTCTTTATTCTTGATAAGCTCAGAAGATAACATGTTTCCTATTTTACCAACATAAATACAAGAGGGCCATGATGGCCCTGAGTCGTTCACCAGAAACAACTGTTTTTCAGTGTTATTTTTCAAAGAACTTGCTGAAAGACCAGTCCAGCTCAACTTTTACTTGCCCTTCTAATTATTGAAATATTTTGCCCTAATATTTTGGAGGCTTTGTAAGAAATATCTATGTTGCAAGTGTGTTCCCATGAGACTATGTAGAATAAAATAATGCAGAATAAACAGGTCTAGGATTTCATGATATTTACGGACAGTCCGTCTCTGTAAATTTTTGGACGAGCCATAATTTTACAGATTTTTGTATCTGTAAATTTACAGACATTAAGTAAGAAAATAGTAGAAGCTGCATTAAAATTCAAAACCACAGGTTAAAATTAATAAGGTTACATACTATATGATTAAATGTAACAGTATCGTGAGATTCAAAACAATATGATGACTTTCAATTTTCACTTTTATTGAAAATTTCAAAATCATCATACAAAGATGAAACTCACCACATTACCTTTGTAAATATAAACAATCAATAAAAAAAACAGTCAGAAGCTGCGGATTTTAGTGTAAAACTAAAAACAGCAAATTTCACATTGAATATAGATTTGTAAATTTATGGATTGAAAAATCTTTAAATCTCTAGACTATCCATAAATTTACGGACAGTCCATAAATATCATGAAATCCTAGACCTGATAAATGACCACTACAGCATGGTTAATTTTGATGGAACATTTTTTCTTTATAACTTTTGTAAATGAATACACAAAATGTCACATGCAAAATATGCAAGTTGTTTACAGTATGGGATAACAATACTTTTTATTTGAGGGCAAATTCGTGCCCAATCGGTAAAATTATGGAGCTTTGGTAGCGTCTCTCTTTCGGAACGGAATTCGTAAAAATTACCTTCCACGTCTGGATCGTAGCCAAGGTAGGAATTGTTTACTTCTAGTTATAAATTACACTAACATGCCCAATAGCCAAGCCCAACACACTAGTTCCGAACTTCCGTCAACTCCCGTAACCAGTACCATACGGTACTACAAAACTCTAAAGTTTGTGCATTCCGATGTGAATGATTTGTCTTTATTTTCAGTAATACAAACTGTGCAAGTCATTTTATAACCATTATACCATAACTAAAAATTCCTTTCAAGCCAGTTGTTACGAAAAACTCGCTTCGGAGCATTATCATTTTGCTTTGATTTCTCAGTTGTTTAAGCATTCGCCGATTGATTTGGTTGGGAAACCTCATTTGGTATAGGCGCAGCGTTGTTTACGGTAGATTCTGTCGCTCCATCAACGTTAACATTGTCTTTATTGAAGAATGAAGTCAATCTTTGCTGCTTCTTTTTCGAAGCAGACATTGTGAAATTTACCCGGGTAATGACATCACAATCTGGAGCGTCTGAGCGCTTTTAACATGTAATAATCACTAAAGCGTCTAAGATAAGTCATGTGACCGATCAGCTGATGAAATTCATGCTATTTATAGAAAAAACTAGAACTGCCACTGTCATGGCGTGAATACCCTCGCATACCACTTTGTCAGAATCAACAGTGGCCATTTAGAGCTCAAGGACAACTTCCCTGCCAAATCTGAGGTTACTAAGCCAGTGCATTGCTAAGTTATGTATTCTACATGCTTCAAATGTGAAAATGTCAAAATCAATACACTGCCGACAGGCATTCTTAAGCAATTGAGGGAAAAAACTTATTTTTTTGTCAAGGTCTCTGTGACCTTTGACCCAGTGACCTCAAAATCAATAGGGGTCACCTTATGGTCATGATCAACCTCCATGTCAAAAATGAAGACTGTGGGTCAAAGGAATCTTAAGTTAATGGGCGGACAAACTTTTTTAGTCAAGGCCCCTGTGACCTTGACCTTTGACCCAGTGACCTCAAAATCAATAGGGGTCATCTACTAATCATGACTAACCTCCATGCCAAATATGAAGACTGTGGGTCAAAGGAATCTTAAGTTATTGGGCGGACAAGCATTTTGAAGTCAAGGCCCCTGTGACCTTGACCTTTGACCCAGTGACCTCAAAATCAATAGGGGTCATCTACTAATCATGACTAACCTCCATGCCAAATATGAAGACTGTGGGTCAAAGGAATCTTAAGTTATTGGGCGGACAAGCTTTTTGAAGCCAAGGCCCCTGTGACCTTGACCTTTGACCCGGTGACCTCAAAATCAATAGGGGTCATCTACTAATCATGACTAACCTCCATGCCAAATATGAAGACTGTGGGTCAAAGGAATCTTAAGTTATTGGGCGGACAAGCTTTTTGAAGCCAAGGCCCCTGTGACCTTGACCTTTGACCCGGTAACCTCAAAATCTGTAGGGGTCATCTACTAATCATGACTAACCTCCATGCCAAATATGAAGACTGTGGGTCAAAGGAATCTTAAGTTATTGGGCGGACAAGAAAAAACCGACGGACAGCTGGACGGAAGTACCAACTTTTGATGTTTATGAGGCAAATCAGCTCATAAACACCACCTGGACCAACGTCCATAAGCAAAATAAGCTCATAAAAACAAAAAAATAGCTCTTAATTTGAATTTTATGAGTTTTTGTTCTTTATTTAACTACGGAATGAAGCTCATAATAATCAAATGTTTGCTCGGACAGACCGACAGACAGACCGACATTAGCAAAACAATATACCCCCTCTTATTCGGAGGGGGGCATAATAATCAATTTCATTAATGATCAGCGATCGGATTAAAAACTTAATCATAGTTTTGAATGATTTCAGTCCGTTAACATCAATTAAAAATTGTTATGTCGCTCACGTCATGGCTACAGGGCGAAATGCCCAAACCTAGCAGTAAAAGAAAGTTACTGATTCTGATACACCTACACGAAAATTTAAGAAAGCCCATTCGCAAAAATCTTACGATTGGTATGTTGTAGACAGTGAGAGTGTTTGGCATTGTTATCTTTGTATAAATGCCAAATTTGACACAGGGCCATCCTTAAAAAAATGTTTGTTTGCAGTAACCCGACCCAGAATTTTCAAGGTGGGTAGGTAGGTCGATTTTTTTTTTTTATTGAACTGTACTCCCAAATAAACATGGAATTTCAAAATGCTGGACAATATATGCTTTGATAATCTGGTAACAATTAATAAATTGATAACTGAATTCTAATTTAATAAGACCTACATTTTATTTCTTCTATTAACCTTTAAAAGAATGAAAACAAGAGCCATGTCAACATGGCCATCCCCCGCCGAATGTGTTTGCTCATTGGAAGAATGTATATGTAGTAGAGCGGAATAATTCTATTTTAAGAGGTCTTTTGGTAATGAAAACTGATGGCTATAATGATTACAGATTTGAAACCTATGTGAATACTGATGGCTGAAAATAACAAAGGGCAATTACTGAAAAATAATGCAGGGTAGGTTATCATTATTGTGTGCTGCATCCCTCCTCAGTAAAATCTATCCACCTATGAAGTTTCAAGTTGATACCTCAAATACTTTTTGAGAAAAAATTAAAGTATGAAAAAGAACAAAGGGCAATAACTCAAAAATTATAAAAGGTAGAGTTATCATTCTTGTGCAGTGCACACCTCCTGAGTCAGAGATCTATGCACCTATGAAGTTTCATTTTGATATCTCAAAGGCTTTTTGAGTTATGCTCTGGACAAAAATTAATTTTGAAAAATAACAAAGGGCAATAACTCAAAAATAATGCAGGGTAGAGTTATCATTCCTAAGCACTGCACTTCTCCTCAATGAGATCCATCCACCTTTGAAGTTTAAAGTTGATACCTCAAATACTTTTTGAGATAAGCTCTGGACAAAATAGCATGGAAAAAAAAGGGCAATAACTCAAAAATTGTATAGGGAAGAGTTATCATTCTTGCGCACAACATTCCTCCTCAATAAGATCTATCCACCTATGACATTTCATGTTGATATCTCAAACACTTTTTGAGTTATGCTCCACTCAGGTGAAAAATTAGGTATGAAAAATAACAAAGGGCAATAACTCAAAAATTATGAAAGGTAGAGTTATCATTCTTGTGCACTGCACACCTCCTGAGTGAGATCTATGCACCTATGAAGTTTCATGTTAATATCTCATAGGCTTTTGGAGTTATGCTCTGGACAAAAATCAATTTTGAAAAATAACAAAGGGCAATAACTCAAAAATCATGCAAGGTAGAGTTATCATTCTTGTGCACTGCACTCCTCCTCAATGAGGTCTATCCACCTATGAAGTTTCAAGTTGATAACTCAAATACTTTTAGAGATATGCTCCGGACAAAAATGTCGGACGGAAGGACGGACATACTTAGCAGACGTGTTTGTGGGGTTATTCCTTTGATCTCTTAACCCCACAAGAGCAAATTTTTTTAACCCCATAAGAGCATTTTTAACCACATAATACATGTCTCTACGGAATGAACCCCATACAGAGTGCCTGTACATAAACCTAAACCTCATAATGTAGCTCTCGTCTGCTCGGACAGACGGACAGACGGACGGACGGACGGAAGGTCGGACGGACGGACGGAGACTATTTCTATATCCTCCGCCGAAATTTTTCGGCGGGGGATAACAAAGCACAAGGTATAATTTTCTGATTAAAAAAAAATTTTTTTTTATCCAGACCATGAAAAAAAATTTTGAGTAGGGGCAAATTTTGTGAGTCGGTCGCGTTACTGCAAACGAACATTTTTTTAAGGATGGCCCAGCTTACGCACGTGGGCACGACATCCCGGAAAAACTACGAATCAATTCAGAGCTCCAGATAATTTTTTTGGCCAAGGCGTTTTTACCCCTCAAAATCTAGAGTGAGGGGTAAAATGCAAATTCTGAAAAAGGGGTAAAATCTGTCAAAAAAAGCATTTTGCATTTTTTATAAACAAATTAAACTTACAATATTGTTTCTGTTTGTTTGTTTTCTTTTTTTAGAAAAACTTTTACAAATAAGATACTGATTCAATGTGAAACAGTACAAAACATGCTCTGTAAAGTCAGACTTCCAGAGTATACACAGCAAAATTATCAAGGCTTCCATTTTCAAAATTTGGAAGTCAGACTTCAAAATCTCTGATATTGGAAGTCACATTTTATAGGTAAAGAAGGAAAAGTATTAGATTTTGGAAGTCACAAGCCAAAATGAAGGAGTAAATGACTCCCAAACTTCCACTAGTGGAAGCCCTGAAATTATTTCATATTCTAGGAGTCAATATTTTCTTTCTTTATTTCTGTTGGCATGTACCTTATCATGTACTCCAGATTAAAGAAAAAATAATTAAGATTTTTTATCTTTCCTTAACAAAGCATTGGTCTGAGAGAAAATTGTCTGTAACTGTAGACTGGGTACGAAAATATTGAGTACAAAACTGCAGGTGAAAAACGTGTCTTTTTTGTTCCAACAACAAAAGTGAAAGAAATTAAAATATATTTTTGTTATAATATTGAGGCATAAGCATGTCAATAGATGCCTAAACAAACAAGAGCCGGTTGAACCGGGTGATGCTCCCCGAATAGGTTTTGGACACAGGAAGGTATACCTCTTGTTGTGTCCGAGTTATGCCACAGACAAAGTTCAAAGTGTAAAAACAACCCAAATATTGTGCACAACACATTGTCTCAATATGGTGATCATTTTTGTGAAATAGTTGTTAAATCCGACTTCCAGTAACAAAGTTATGGGCCGGACACGATTTTGCTGCAAGTTCATGCTGTGACCTTGACCTTCAAGGTAGCTCCCCAAATGTTGCGCGCAACACGTCGTCTCAATATGGTGATCATTTCTGTGAAATAGTTTTAAAATCCGACTTCAAATAACAAAGTTATGGGCCGGACAAGACGACGACTATATGCTCCCCCGAAATTTTTCTATTGATCTATGAGAGTTATCTCCCTTCTGTACTTCCTGTTACTTTTGTTTTTAACATGCGTTGATGACAACAGAATTTTTAGTTTTCAAAGCAATAAAATGGAAATATATTGTATTTTTATGCTTAAAACATCCTCTTTCTAAATATCAAATGTTTACACTTCTATTCTTTCAGATTAAATTTTGACATACAAGCGTATTTTCATTTTGTTGTGCGTAACTTTGACGCACGGATTTTGAAAGTGATACGTATTTTAGATTTCCTATGCGTATTTTATGCTGATACGCACGCTATCTGGAGCTCTGAATCATGATCGGCATGCTACATATCGGTCGTACGTACAGTCAAACTTGTATTAAGCGACCATGCAAGGGAAACACCCAAAACGGTCGCTTAATGAAATGGTCTCTTAAGACAATGCATGACATAAAAGTAAAAATTTACAAATGACATCTTTTTTATGCGGTGGGAATATTTTACAACTTCATTTTAATATAAATGTTGAATAATTAGTACGCTCGGTAATCTAAATGGATGCCAATGTAAAAAATAACTTTCAGATATTTATTGACAAAACAGTTTTGATCCATTACGTATACATGTTTGACATTTTTTCCAGAATTTTTTAACATCTCCGTTATTTTTCCTTGTCTCCAACACGAAAACCCTATTAGTGAAGATGTTTTTCTGTTGTGCATTTTTTCATTCGAAATAAACAAACTACATCTAATTTTAATCGCTGATCAAGTTCAAGGTCAATTCAATGCAGTCTAAATGTCAACAAGCGAAGTGTATACACCACATCTGAGTAGAGGCGGAGCGTTGCATTGTTTATCCGATATTATTGGATAATACACGTCAGGCGTATACTTAACTTCATTTGCTTACGCTAAAACGGTTTGGGAAATAGAGTTTTTCACACATTTATACATTACGAGGTGGCGTTCTCTAAAAATACAATTACTTGACAGGTAAAAGTGGTCGTTTGATGAAAAGATTGCTCTCAATTAGGTGACTAATTAGCGGTCGCTGGTTGCGTTGAGCAAAAGTCGCTTAATACATTAAAAATATAGAGAGAAAATGATCGGGGGGAATTTAAAGTGGTCGTTTAAGACAAAAGTCGCTTAATACTCGTGGTCGCATGGGCAAGTAAGACTGTATATCATGTGTACAATCATGTATATAACAACAAAATTTGTCAGGAAAGAAGTGTTCTTATTGTTTCAATATATATATATTTGTTTTAAAAATTGCTGTATGGACAAATGCATATGTACTAGAAGTCAAGGACATGACCATCACTGTCTATATGTATAAAATGGGAGGGACGGACGGACTGCAAAACGACAGATGGACGGTTCGATTTTAATATGCCACCCTTCGGGGGCATAATAAAGTAATTTATAAACTAGAAATGTGTCATCATGTCACGGATGCCCCCGCATGCAGCCAAAATTTCAGATGGTGCATTAATTATTTTTTTCATTTTAAGTTCAAAGCCCTTAAAACTTTTCAATGTTAAAACTAACCATTTTCATACAATGTTCAAGGCACTGAAATAATTCAGTCTTAACCTTTTAAAAATAGCATATTGCATATTTGTAGCCAAAATAATGGCTAAAAGTATGAGTGCTGAAACTGAAAGTTCAAAATTTTTCCAACATTCAGGAAAGATAAGTTTGTCTATAATCATTGAACCACGACCAAATTCAAACTTAAACTGCTTATTCCTTAGATGTATCTATATTATTTTCAAAAAGAAAGGGACATAACTCTGCCAAAAAATCATCAAACCATGACCAAATTCCAACTTGACCTGCCCATTCCTTTGACATATCCATATGTCAAATTTAAGTTGAATATGTAACACTGTTGGGTAAATAATGAACAGAAACTGTAAATTTCATATTATTTTCAAAGTGAAAGGGGCATTATTCTGCCAAAAATCATTGAACCATGACCAAATTCGAACTTGGCCTGGGCATTCCAAAAACATATCCATATGTCAAATTTGAGTTGAATGTGTTGTACCATTGGGGAGATAATAAACGGAAACTGAAAATTTCATATTATTTTCTAAGTAAAAGGGGCATAACTCTGCCAAAAATCATCAAACCATGACCAAATTTGAACTTGACCTGTATTTTCTCATGACATATCCATATGTCAAGTTTGAATTGAATGTGTTGTACCATTGGGGAGATAATGAACGGAAACTGAACATTTTATATTATTTTCAAAGTAAAAGGGGCATAACTCTGCCAAAAATCATCTAACCATGACTAAATTTGAACTTGACCTGTATTTTCTCATGACATATCCATATGTTAAGTTTGAGTTGAATGTGTTGTACCATTGGGGAGATAATGAACGGAAACTGAAAATTTTATATTATTTTCAAAGTAAAAGGGGCATAACTCTGCCAAAAATCATCTAACCATGACCAAATTTGAACTTGTCCTGTATTTTTTCATGACATATCCATATGTCAAGTTTGACTTAAATGTGTTGTACCGTTGGGGAGATAATGAACGGAAACTGAAATTTCATATTATTTTCAAAGTAAAAGGGGCATAACTCTGCCAAAAATCATCGAACCATGACCAAATTCGAACTTGACCTGTTTTTTCTCATGACATATCCATATGTCAAATTTGAGTTGAATGTGTGCAACCGTTCTTAAGATAATGAACGGAAACTGATGATGACGGAATGACAGAATGACGGAAGGATGGAAGGACGGAAGGATGGAAGGACGGAAGGACGGAATGACGGAACAGGGTAACACTATATGCCCCGGCCATTACATGGCGGGGGCATAAAAAGTTGGAAGCACATGGGTTCTGTTTTCATAACCATCCACGCAAATTAACCCGTAAAGGTCAATCTCTTAATCATGTGGTCAATCATTTTGGCAATATGCCGGCAAAGTGATGAATTTTTTTTTACCTATTGGAAACTATAAGGTAGTTTATGTTCGTAATAAGTTTATGTGTCCATCCTTGGCTTATTAACAGATTTTACATAGTTTTATCAAGGTATGCTTCACTTTACTTCATGGCATGTTCAATGAATGAATAAGAGCGTGTCAGATTCCTGGCATGATTATTGGCGGACTTTCCCTATGGGTCTGTCTTCAGCGTTCATGTCATGTCATAGTAACACTAAAGACCTTAAGCTAATGTTCAGTATAACTTCGAGTGGGCATTCCTCCTATGGAACTGTTTATTATGTCACCTTGCTGTCAATCAGCAACACAATATTTAATCCCCTATCATCTAGAATCTGAACAGATAACAATCAATGCCCGGAGGTGTGCTTTTTCATTTTATATACTTTTGTAAGGTGCTGTAAACTGGTGCCTCATATTTCCATGGTACTTAACTGTTTAACACAAACAACAAAAGTTAAGAGGATAAAATTCTGGAAAACACAGTGAATATTGTAGGATAGACATGTTAATTGCATCATAGTTTATTCCATTTAATGTTTGCATGTAAGCAATTATGTATACAACATTGTAATTAACACCCATCTGCTGCCTTGTGAGTAATTTTGTGTTCTCATATTTCCAAGACAATTACATTTTAACAGTTTCAAAAGCAAAACCAATAGTAAACTTTATTTATAAGTACACCTTTACCTAGGCTCATCTGAAAGGGGCCATTTTCTCTTTGGCATTTATCAAATACCTCAATGGTTGTTTAACAAAAAAGATTTTTTTTAAAAAGAAAAGGAAGTGGCTAGCCGTACGGGCCCGTACAGCTAGCCAAAAGTTCTAGCCGTACGTGAGTCACATACGACTAGGAAAGACACACTGTATTGGCTAGCCGTACAGCATTTTCAAAATTATATGGAAGTCGAAAATTCATATGTTATTTTATGACTTTAAGCGAGGATTTTAACCAAGAAACAGCAATTGTCTTCGTATGTTTACTTTTTAGATATTAAGCGCCTTGTAAAACAAGAGCCCGGTGATGCTCCCCGAATAGGTTTTGGACACAGGAAAGTACACCTCTTGTAGTTTTCTGAGTTATGTCCCTGGAAAAAGTTCAAAGTGCAATAATTCCAAAATTAGGAAAGGCAGAGTTACTGTTCTTTGCACTGCACTTCTAATCACTGTCATCTATCAACTTACAAAGTTTCTTGTTGATATCTCTTATGGTTTCCTAGTTATGTTCCGGACAACTTCAAAAAGTAAAAATAAACAAATGGCAATAACTCCAGAATTAGGCAAGGCAGAGTTATGATTCTCATGCACTGCACATCTACCCACTGAGATACATCTACCTACAAAGTTTCATGTTGATATCTCTTATAGTTTTACAGCTATGTCCAGTACAAGATTTTTCTAAAAGGGGAGATAATTCAAAAATGAGGCTTAACAGAGTTATGTTTATTTTGCACTGCACTTCTACTCAATGAGATCTATCTACCTACAATGTTTCATCTTGATATCTCTTATAATTTTAGAGTTATGTTCCGGACAAAGTTCAGTGTAAAAATTAACAAAGAGCAATAACTCAAAAATTAGGACAAAAAAGTTATTGTTTTCATGCACTGCACATCTACCCATTGAGATCTATTCACCTACAAAGTTTCATGTTGATATCTCTTATAGTTTTAGAGTTATGCCCCGGACAAGATTTTTCTATAAGGGGAGATAATTCAAAAATGAGGCTTAACAGAGTTATGGTTCTTTTGCACTGCACTTCTACTCAATGAGATCTATCTACCTACAATGTTTCATCTTGATATCTCTTATAGTTTTAGAGTCATGTTCCGGACAACTTCAACAAGAGCACCGCTAGGCGGAGCATTATATGCCCGAAAGTGCTTTTTTTCTTTACTAAGGATGAAGCATTTGTAAGACATTACATAAATTAAATAAAGTATTACCTCCTTCAAATAGCAATCCTCCTATAAAGTTTGAATATTGTGGGCCAAATGGAACTTCAGTTATGCTCTGGAAACTGTTTTTAGTTTTGAGGTAATAGCTACCTTGAACTTTGACCGTGTGACCCCAAAATCAATAGGGGTGTTCTACCTAATATGGACAATCATCCTATGAAGTTTCAACACTATGGGCCAAATAGAAATTAAGTTATGTTCTGGAAACTTTTTTTCAGTTTTATAGTAATAGTAACCTTGACCTTTGACATTGTGACCCCAAAATCAATAGGGGTGTTCTACCCAATATGGACAATCATCCTCTGAAGTTTGAATATTGTGGGACAAATAGACCTTAAGTTATGCTTTGGAAACTGTTTTCAGTTTTAAAGTAACAGTGACCTTGACCTTTGACCTTGTGACCCCAAAATCAATAGGGGTCTCCTACCCAATATGGACAATCATCCTATGAAGTTTGAACACTGTCAGCCAAATGGAACTTAAGTTACGTTCCGGAAACTGTTTTCAGTTTTAAAGTAATAGTGACCTTGACCTTTGACCTTGTGACCCCAAAATCAATAGGGGTCTTCTACCCAATATGGACAATCATCCTATGAAGTTTGAACACTGTGGGCCAAATGGACCTTAAGTTATGCTCCGGAAACTGTTTTCAGTTTTAAGTTCATAATAACCTTGACCTTTGACCTTGTGACCCCAAAATCAATAGGGGCCTTCTACCCAATATAGACAATCATCCAATGAAGTTTGAACACTGTGGGCCAAATGGAACTTAAGTTATGCTCTGGAAACTGTTTTCAGTTTTAAGGTCATAATGACCTTGACCTTTGACCTTGTGACCCCAAAATCAATAGGGGTCTTCTACCCAATATGGACAATCATCCTATGAAGTTTGAATGTTGTGGGCCAAATGGAACTTAAGTTATGCTCCGGAAACCAAATTTCTAACGGACGGACGGACGGACGGACGTTCCTACTGAGTTGACATTATGGGTTTTTTTTCTTTGATCTCCTTTGATCTCTAAAACCCCATAAGCAACGTATTTGCACCCCATAAGCAACCTTTTTCCTCACAAGTACCGTCTATACGGATTGAACATGGATATTCACCCCACATCGTCATTTCAGTGAGAGCGGATAGACAGACGGACGGATGGACGCCAGGGGGTATAACATAATATGCCCGAAATTCTTTCGGGCATATAAAAAGTGTTGAAATTAACAAAGGGCAATAACTCCAAAATTAGGACAAAAAGAGTTATTGTTTTATGCACTGCACATCTTCCCACTGAGATCTATTCACCTTCAAAGTTTATGTTGATATCTCTTATAGTTTTAGAGTTATGCCCCGGACAAGATTTTTCTATAAGGGGAGATAATTCAAAAATGAGGCTTTACAGAGTTATGTTTTTTTTGCACTGCACTTCTTCTCAATGAGATCTATCTACCTACAATGTTTCATCTTGATATCTCTTACAGTTTTAGAGTTATGTTCCGGACAAAGTTCAAAGTGTTGAAATTAACAAAGGGCAATAACTCCAAAATTAGGACAAAAAGAGTTATTGTTCTTATGCACTGCACATCTACCCATTGAGATCTATTCACCTACAAAGTTTCATGTTGATATCTCTTATAGTTTTAGAGTTATGCCTCGGACAAGATTTTTCTATAAGGGGAGATAATTCAAAAACCGGGCAAAATAGAGTTATGGTTTTTTGACACTGCACTCCCCCTCAATGCCCTCTACCACTGTATGAAGTTTAAACAAATTATCTCCAAGGGTTTTCAAGTTATGCTCCGGACAAGAAAACGGACAGACGGACAAGGTGCCGACTAAATGCTCTCCCGAAATTTTTCGGGGAGCATAAAAAAAGTATGAATATTGATCTTTGTCATCTGAAGACGTTGAGAAAAAATAGCGTTTGGTCGCAGTTAAATAACAGCAATTGAAATAGTTTACAAAATTTTGATGATAATCCTTTTTTGTTTCATTAAGTTTAATTTTCGACACCTTTAAAATGAAACAAATAAAAATGAAAATTATTGTTGTTGGGCTCTGATAATTGCTTCAATTACCGACGGTATAGAAGTTTGTTAATATAAGGAAAGTTTCCATGTTCCGTGAAACGCATTTTAAAATTCTATTGTCAGTCCATGGGTAGGCTTTGATAAATGCTAATTAATTTATTGTGCTTTTACATGTATGTTTGATATTTATCTACTGTATTTGAAAATTATACAATTATTTTTGCTTTTCACCGTTTTTTTTTTTCAATGTTCTCTCTATTTATTCCACTCTGATCATTATTTATTCGATCCATGTGCTTAATTAACCATATAATCATGAGGCACAAAATAAGATATGCATGTTCGAGTTCCATATAATATTGAAAAGTGCCGTACGACTAGACAATACAGTGAGTCCTGGCTAGTCGTATGTGACTCACTTCCAAAAGAAAAATGGTGAAATATTAAATAACTTTGCTCTTTATCTGAATAAAATAATTTTTTTTTAGTTCTATATGTTACATTTTCGATAAAAATACAAGTAAAACTACTGGCAGGTTCATTAAGTCTAGGAGGCACTTTCGACTGTTTAAGCCGGATACCTTTGAAATATGGGTACCACGGAAATATGAGGCACCAGTATATTTGATCTTTTACGTTGACAATTTCTTTTTTTTCACTGTGACTAATATCGGGAATTTAATCTGTAATATGGGGAATCGTGATCAGGTTCAAAATATCAGGATTTTATAAATCATGCCGGGATATCACATGTTTGAAATTTGCTGACAATATCCGGGCATTTCCCCCTGGGGGCATTTGCCTTTTTTAAAAAATAAAAATAAAAAATGTCATGGTCACTCCGTAGTTTACAATAATCTTGGTCAATCAGACGCTTGCAAGAAATTACGTAATGTAGGCATGCGCATAAGTTTAAAAATATAAATAAACTTACCCAGAATTCCTTGGTTACCAATGACAACATTGTAGGTAAATAATAATGTTCCCGCTTTTTGCGTGAAAAGTTTATAAACTGTATCTTTAATTGTTACGTATCCATTGTATGATAATTATATCAATAGTATATATAGTTAACAGCTACTATTTTGTAGAATTTTGTTATGCATATTTTTGCACAGTTGATTATCTATGTAACAAGCGATCTACTGGTATCGTTCTTTGCTTACTTAGCATTTATGATCTAGTTCACTTCAATGTTTACTATTGAAAATCATCATCTGACGATGACCACAGCATATAGTTGGATTTGCTGTAAGGATTTTTTGGAGTTCTTTTTGCCGATTTCGGCGATTTACCTTCTTGTTTTGTTGGCTTAAAGCCTGCGGGATGACACACATTATCCGTTTTGTTCTTTTTCCGTCCTACAGACTTTTTAGGTCTAGCAGCAGGAGATTTGGACTTTGTTGTCGTAATGTCTGTGTTGCTCTTGGAAGACATAGGCGCTTGTACCAAACATTGAACGGGTTCATCTATTGAACTGTCTGAAAATAATTCGCTGAGCAGCGCAGCTGTAGCAGGTTTTATTTGTCGAGGACGGGTTGCTTGTGATCTTTGCGCTGGAGTGATACCGTCATCCGACGAAATTATCAAAGGTTGCTCTGAACCTATATCTTGCACCTGTGTAGCTTGAGTATCCACAGGCAGAACGTCCTCTTCACTGCTGCTGTCACTACAACTACTGCTGGCATCTGTAACGTTGGGTTCAACGGTCCAATCGCCTATGTTGTTTATCACCGGCCCCGGCCACGAATCGAACAGCGGAGTGGAGTACTGGTATTGAGCTGGACCCTCCAATGTATAGACACTTCTAAGCAGATCGAAGAAATGTTCGTATTTCTTCAATTTCACCTCAGAACGCCACATTATTTCCGCCAAGTGTCCCTCCCACTGGCTTGCCTGGGTACCGGGCATTTTCCGGAAATGGGCTTTGGCATGCTTCCAGGCTCCTTCAATTTGGTTGGTGTGGACAGATACTATTTCTCCAGTTTCCATATTTTTGTATTTCTTCTTAAACGCATACTTGTGCAAAACCGAGAAATGCTTGTAACCTATGTCATTTAGGTGACAGTAAGCTGTCCAACCGTCGCTATATATAGTCGAGCCCTTCTCCACATGCCGTTCAATCAATGGTATCAGGGTGGCATTTGACCTGTTCTCCACAGGGTACAGTATAATGGTATTGGAATTCCTCTCCACCATACCAAAAACCCATACCTATAAAGAAATCAATAAATTGTGAATAATTATAATCGAAAAATAACAGAATGCAAAGTTTTAAAGAAATATATAATAAATATGTGCGCTACTTATTTAGCATGAAATAAGTGATAAATTTAATAAATATATTTATTATCATTTTATTGAAATAAACATTACCTTTAACCCCTTGTGAGGGTTGCCTCTATGGTACTTTACTCTTCTTCCAAACAGTGATTCGTCGATCGCTATTTCACCACGAAGCTTCCTATGTGATATATTCCTGTGGAAATGTTCTTTGAACAGCTCACGAAGAAACGATGCCCAATCTAATGCAGTTGATTTATAGTTTACGCCGGCAAATATAGACGTTTGTAAAAGCGTCATTCCATTTAAATAACATCGGATAAACATGAAAATATCTTGGACGCAGAGTTTAGACCCTTCGAAAAATGAAAAGGTTCTAATAGCCACCTCATGGTTCCGGTTCACGCTGCAGCGAACCGTGGGGCCGGAGATTCTGCCCTTACGCTGGCTCCCTTTCATGATTCCGGTGCACCCTTCTGACGTTTTTGTACACGGCATGGTTCTCACCAAGAATTGGTTTGCCATTAGCCATTCATTCAAATCTTGATCATCTTGATTGAATAATGTGAAAAAATTCCATGGGTTGTACAAATCTTTGATAGTAATTTCACTTGGCGTCAAAATTCTCTTTCTAAAATTTCCAGGATATGGCGACGACGTGTCCATCTTTGAAATAAAGTACTGAACTGACCATGAGGTAGAATTTCCGGCCTTAAATAGGGACTCAAACACATTCATCACGTGATGAAGATAAAAGCAACCTTCCCGCTTTTCTACCTTGGGGTTCAAATAGGGTGTGCATGCACAGTTGGTATACATGTACATGTAGTTACATTAAAAATGTATATTTATAAATGTACGTATCGGAAATTTAAAAAAATTCTATCCGTTCTAAAATACATGACATTAAACACTGTCAAAAGGCAAATGCCCCGGGAGAGTTTCCGACTATGTAAAACTAACGTAGGCAAACGTCCCGGGGAAGTTTACTTTTTAAATATTTAATACGATTCATTCCGTAAGAAATTATTTTCAGACACTTCCCCCAAAACAATGCCAAGCCCCATTTTTTAAAATATAAAGACCCCTGAAGAAAACCCTCTTCCCGGGAAATCTTCCCTTATAGAAGTATTATAAAGTATTGAAATAGTTTCGCTCTCTCTATATATAATCTGGTTATCTGCCCCGGGTGAGAAAACCAGATTATATATAAGGAAACAATTTTTTATTTCATATCTTAATATATGCTACTGAAAAGGGAAGATTTCCCGGGACGAGGGTTTTCTTCGGGGGTCATTATATTTTAAAAAATGGGGCATGGCATTGTTTTGGGGGAAGTATCTTAATAAGGAATTAACGGAATGAATGTTATTAACACTTAAAAGTACCTATATCGGCATCAAATATTTTGTAAAGGCAAATGCCCCGGGAGAGTTTCCGACTATGTAAAACTAACGTCAGCAAACGTCCCGGGGAAGTTGACTTTTTATATTTAATACGATTCATTCCGTAAGAAAGTACTTTCAGACTTTATATAAAAACTGATATTTATAATTTATCCCTTTTGTGGCCCACGAAAATGAAAAGCAGAAGAAAAAACGAAAAAAACGTGTTTTCCCTAGACGTGTAAAATTTTGTCCATACACATTATTTTATTTCTACGTTTACACATTACTCGTTACATTATGTATTCCGAACTTTGTTCAGAAATACATTATGTATTCAGAACTTCCTTCAGAAATACATTATTATTTGTCCAGCAGCCGTACGACCTTACTTGACCATAAATATTTTTTTGAAAAAACATAATTTGGACAAATTTTAAAAATTATATTTTTTTTAAATGGGTATCACGTGACTATTTTGTCATGAGCTTTACAAGTTCTATAAATATATACCCTCGAGTCACCAGTTTTCGTTATGTTAAGCGCATTGACGCGGACAATGACAACAAAAAACAATTTTCAAACTGTTCATAAATCAAAATATATCTTACCTCTTTATAGTCAACAAAAGGAAAACAAATAATTGTTATCATGTAGCCTTGGGCGCGGCCATTTTGAAAGTATACCGGAAACGGTTTATTTTTTGACTGGTATACCTCAATTCGTTATGTTTAGAAAAATCAATAATACACCGAAACCTAAGGATAAACGCAAGAAATCATGTTAGTTTACGAATATGTATTGATTATTCTTCAAGTAAACAGAGTATCAAAATAATATTTAACAATAACATGGATGTAAATGACAATATGTTTTAACAGTGGGGGCATCTAAACTCATCTCCTCTACGGACAACTCTTACTTCTGACCAATAAATAAGATGTGTCCAGTGTTCACAAAAATCACACTTAGCCCATTTTACAAAAGTAACAACAATTGGCAGTTTGAAAGTTCTTCAGGTTGAAATTTGTTGCATACACAGCATAATTCATCATCATCATCATCAACAGAGTCATCATCGACACTATCCTCCATCAAAGGAGGTGTATTCAAGTCAATGGGGCCTCCAGACTTGGAGGTTCCAGATGAAGAGGGCGTTGGATTACCCTTAGCAAACAGGCTTTTGGAAGGGGTTCGAAATCCCTTTGGAGCAGTTGCAGTTGACTTTTTTTGTGTATTTGATATGTAATCTTTTACATCAGCTGCAACTGTAGGCTCAGTAATAGCTTTGCCTGCAACTATTTTACTTATAGACCTTCTTTCTTTTTTAAAAGGTGGTTTGAAAACTGGTCTTTTTTTCCTAAAAAAAGAACTAGCAACATCACTTGTACATTCTAAAGATGATGTTTGAGGAAGGACAAGTGTAGAAGAAGTAACTTGATCCAATGGAACTGCGGTCAAAAGTTCAGAATCCTCGGCTACAGGCTCATTCTCAGCATAATTAACAGTCTCATCTGAATCAGCTGTAGGAAGGACAGCTGGCAAATGGTCATGACTTACAGTGTCTTCATCCACAAAACTTGCTCTTAACTCATGAGTTTTAAATAATGATGTATCTATTTTATCAGGATTAAAAGGATAAATGCCTGATTTCATAAATGCGGACTGCAAATTTTTTACAGATAGAGCAACAGAATAAGCCTTGCACGCAATGGCACAGACACTGTACTTATCCACAACTCTACTCTTATTACAGTGTATGCGCATAGATAAAATTTAACACAACTTTAGTCAAATGACATACCTGCAAACACAAAGTAGGGAGGGATCTGTTGTCCAAGTGCATTTCCACATCCAAGTATGGTTGTTGTACTGGACCTCTCTGAAGTTACTACAGATGTCTTGGTATCAGATGGGCCAACAACATAGGAAGGTGTAAAATTTTGTTGTACACCTTTCTCGTCCACATTATAGATGGATTCTGGACAATCTGTCAGTTCATATTTGTCCAAGATAGACCTGAGTTTGTTAAAATAACGATTAATACTTTCTCTACTAGTTGCTTTTGCTCGAAGTTCAGAGATAGTTTTAGGTCGCTGAACTTTCAACTCTGGCCACCTACCTAAAAATGCATAAAACCACTTATAAGTAAGTGACTTTTCTCTTGAACGTTTACCCAGACATGTTGCAAATTATGTAGCAGTGTTAATGACCTCTGCTCTAGTGTATGGGTACCCAACATATGCCATGTCCTTGATATGATCTACCAATTTCGCCTCCTCAAATTCACTCAAAAGTGGCCCAGGACCTGACCTGTGAAAACAAATTAGAAATATTAATAAATGTATAATAAGCAAAGATTTAATAAGTTTCATCTTAATCAAGAATATAGAAGCATCTCACCTAGTCGTATCTGGCTCAATATGTCCAAGAACTCTGTCCCTTAAGGTGTGCATAGGCACACCATAGACCTTGGATGCCTTCCTAACAGACAGCTCACCCTCAACTGCACACTGGTATGCCTTATCCAAACTTGATGGTGAATACTGTCTGTATTTTCTTTTGGTAGGTGGGGGACTCCCAAAAACCTGCAGAAAATGCTAAATATCTAAAGAATATAAGCAAAATAAACCATTCATACTGACCAATACACATAGAAACATTAACAAATTATCCTGGTGTACGTAGTTCCGACGCACCTAAGAAACAATCACTATTTACCGTAACAAAATAAGGTGACAACTAACAAATTACCTAAGCAGTGAAAAATTTATTCATTTCTTCATCTTTTACAACTTTTTTCATTAACTAAAAACTATCGTTAACACAAAAATAATCAAAATATGACAAGCATAGATTTCCAATATGGCGGATATGAGAGTACAGAGAAACGACGCATTTGATTGGTTTCTATATTTAATCTTACTAAAACAAAAGTACACTTCCTTTTCACTGCGAGAATGATGTACAGCAATTTTGTAAACAGCACGAAACATTTCAAGCACAAAAGTAAATAAATAAAAGATGACAATTATTTCAGTTAATCAGTATTTCAGTTTTTTGATAAGACTAAATTCAAACATGCTTTACAATGATTACAGGTAGACCAAAACAACAAAGATAACATCCGTTTTATTGCCCTACCACTCACAATTGTGCTAAAATATTTTCTTTCATTAGTAGGTGGCTTTTTACATGTCAGTGAGGTTTCTTTGTACAAGAAAAAAGAAGCAGGAGAGACAGTTTCAGATATAACAGGAGCAGTGTCAGACTCAATGAGTGGCTCATTTTCAGGCAGGAAAGAAGGTTTAAATCCTGGTCCTGGCTGGCTGCATCTTCTGACTGAGATTTCTCTTGCTGTTAATCAGTGAAAGGGAGAAGTTAGACTGGTTTTCAAAGGCTTTCTGAAAACAGACTGCAAAATCTTGGATAACAGTGCTTTATATTTAAATAGGCACTGAATTCAAGCTTACATATGTCATTATGTAATTTAGTGATTGACCTTCCACAGGACCAGGGTCTTTCAAATATAATTTCTATTTGAAAGACCCTGAACAAGACAGGTCTCTCAAAATTTATGTCCGCACCTATTGAAATGTTTTTCAAGGCCTGAAACAACCTATAGATATCCATGGGCTGTAGAACATTGCATGTATGAGCAAGTGAATAAGTAAAATAATCATTTCTTGTCTTGCCCATTGAACAATATTGAAATTGATGTGATATCTATGCTTATGATCATAAAATATAACAACTGGGCAAGATTCAGACCTTTCTGGAAGAAATCAGATTGGAGATATAGCTTTAATCATATGCTTCAATCACTCTCTGAAACAGTACCATCTGTCACAGGAGTACTACCATTCAGCAATGCTGAATTTATGCCAGTAGCAGATATACAATACAGCATATTGACAAGCAGTAATTATGTCTCTCTGCATTTAAAAAAAATAAATAGCTGTTGTCACTGAAGTTGGTGAATAATTCCTGATCTTGACTTCAGGGATCTGTAAAAAATAACATAGATAATATTAATAATAAAGCAACATAACAAAAAAAGAACTTAATAGAATACAAACTTTAATATAAATGCATCCATAAAGTCACACAATATTGAGCTAACGAGTACACCTTCCTACACAGTGAATTATATATTTGGTGGTCACATACCATGCCATAATACTATCTTAAAGCTTTCTAAAAATAGCGGCGAGTTAGGGTGTCGGCTGGTCCGACTGTCATTTTATCAATTTTGAGAAAACTATACTTTCAAAATTATACAAAATAAGTAATAAGAAAAAAACATCATTTTTAAGTGTTTTTATTAAAAAGTACGAAAAGATTACGTCAAAATCGCCTACTTTCCACATTTTCGCTGATAGAAATCACCGAAATGTTAATTTACAAAAAAGCGCGGGAATGACGTCACACGGAAACCCCAAAACGAAATCGAGGTCAAAACAAAAATGGCGTCGTAATTAAGATGCGTCGAAATAAAGTACTGGAGGATAACTTTCAATTAGGGTTAACATTGTATAAGGAACTTTCCCCTTTTAACACCTCTTTGGGATAATTTCCAGTAGGTGAACCAGTCTAAACTGACCTTGATTCATAAGTAATGAATGTAAACAAACAGACGACTGTCAACAATTGTGATTTGAAGTACTTTTCGTGAGAAAATTGAATGGTGAAGTGGTAATGTAAATTTGCTTTACAAAATATATGCTAAAATACACTTGTATACAGAAAATTATGCAAATCTTACGCCTCCTAGCTTTATACGAAGCATTTTGTTGACAGAAAACTTCTTTGACACTTCTAACGCCGATTTCCAGGTTTGTGACGTCGAAACGAAATCTATAAACATCCGGTATCACGATTTCGGGTATATCACGATTTGGGGTGACTCGAGGATATCACGTGACTATTCAAAATATGCAAGCGCCTGGATGACACAGATGAATAAATAGATCTACTCTCAAACACAGGGGAGAAAAAAAATTAATGAAATTCAAATGCCCCCAGGGGGACATGCCCGGATAATGCCAATCTGCTTCTGGCTCCTCCATATAACCAGATTTATTTAGTGACAATAGTGTTGGCCTCGAAAGATTTTGAGTAGGTTAAACTTTAGATAATTAATTTTTTTAAATACAAAAGAAAACATTTACCATTGTCTTGGACATCCTGTTCATCCAATGATTTATCATCTTCTAAAGATTTGCAGTTTCTTACCAATACGACTTTGTAGTAAAGAGATTCCTTCATGCTACCGTTTGGATCCTGCAACAGGTTTCCAAGCGCAGCAACTTTCAAAGTGTCAACTGTCGAAGCGGGACTGACTGACAAAATGATGTCCATTCCATCTGGACACGTCAGTCTGATTTTCATCTCAGAAGACGGAAAAATGTTTGTATCAGAGACAAACATCGAGAAAATTGAGTTATTGACAAAATCTAAAAAATATAGAAAGTGGTCTTCCTCTGCAGACGTTTGTACGGCACAGTCTAAAACGCGGACGCCTTAGCGGACATAAAGGGAAAAGACAAACGATATAGATAATAAAGTGTAAAATGACTGAGCATAGTAAATCTATATTAAAGGCGAATAATTGGCTTTTATAAAGTAATATATGAAAGACATTAGTTAGAAGCAGTAGAATTGTATAGATATATTTGTATAGATAAAGAAAATCTTATGATGCATAACGGATGCAAAACAAATTTGATTAGACTGAGTCAATTTGCATTCAAAAAGTATAAAATATACAGTATTTGCGAAGCACAATAATCTTTTTAAATACCCGGATTTTTTTTATTTATATATAAATTTATTTATTTATGTTTTAAATTACGTACGGAAACGTATACTGACCCCCCCCCCCCCCCCCTATATATTTATCAAAATGAAGACAATATCAGTAATTTCACGTAAGTTATACAGTATAGTTAAACATATATAAAATGACTAAATCTATCAGATATTAATAAAAAAATTATTTATAACTCCCATTATCTTTTTTGAAACGGTGAAAGTCCGGCCTTTTAAGCGTTTATTTTCATTTGTGCTAATTTAAGTAAAATTCCACTTTGTATTATTTAAAATTTGCGAAATATAATCATTGGATATTACAGTTATATATATTGAATATATATTTAATAAAGTATTATAGGTTAGAAAGATATATGTCTCCCAATATAATTAACAATGTTTACTGTTTAATTAATTGCACTCAACATGTAACGTATGTACAAATGTTGCAGTTATTATATAGTTCTCAGTAATAGGCAGATTGTATAATTGGATGTTTTCAATATCATGGTGCCTGTACCACGTGACTTTTTGTGATCTGCAAGAGGAAAAAATCAATACAAAAAACGGTCCAGAATTTTTGGCCATGATAACTTTCTAAATAATTCAATGAATGTGTTTATCATTAGAATGAGTGTGATTTACATCTAATTCTATAAAAAAAATAAAATATTCAAAAATGCAATAAAATTTTGATCGTTATTTGTATTATGCTTACCACAAAAAGTCACGTGGTAAAGGCACCGTGAATATGTTCAGATGTCCTTCTTATCGTGCTCATTTGTATTTTACTTAATGTTTAGGTAGACAATTGAGCAACATCTAAGCACTCTCAACTGCGTCTATGAAGCTTAATATATATATAATAAGCAGAAGCCTTTAACCTTTTACCCCATGAGCATATTGCGAAAAGTGGCCGTTTTCATTGAAAAGCCTCCTGTAACAAGTTCAAACTTCTTTATAAAACAATGTTGTCTTTAATTTGTCCTCTACGAATATTGTTAATTCTAAATGGATAAATTTTGTAAAAGAAACACTTAGAAATCTTGGCATGTCAGAATATTTTCATTTACAGAAGGTAGATAATATTAATTAATCACTTTAAAAATATTGTGAAGCTTAGACTACAAGATCAATTTTTACAAGATTGGCATAGTACTATTGATACATCCTATATAAGTGTTTAGTTTATCGTACATATAAAAATACTCATTGTTTTGAAAAATATCTAGATGAACTTCCTTTAGACATAGGCAAATATTTATGTAAATTTAGAACAATGAATCACCTATTACCAATTGAAAAAGGCAGACATTTGGCAATTGATCATAATAATAGGCTCTGTTCCTTATGTCCGTATCAGGCTATTGGTGATGAATTTCAATACTTATTTGAATGTTCGTACTTTAATGACATAAGACGTAAATCTCTTCTTCCCAGGTTTTATATTCATCCCAATATTTTTAAACTTGACAGATTAATGAATAGTTGTGATAAAAAGATTTTACTAAAATTATCTTTATTTTGTAAAACATTATGTTAAAATTTAAATAATTAATACTTCTCATTCTCCATCCCATTTGTTACAATGTAAAATACATGCATTGAATTCAATACTTGAATTGAACAATATGATCTCCTTTTTGTTTATTTAGCGTCATAATTGTATTCTTATATTGTGATATTAGTGATTTTTGACTGTTACTTTTCTGTTTGTTTGTTTGTTATAACCAGTTGCATATTATATGCCTTGGTTTAATAAAAACTGAAACTATAACTGAAAAATGCTTCAATAATGATGAAACTTGGCACAAATGTTGACTAGACCACAGCCTCTGTAACAGCATGCTCAATAGTAAATATCCTGTTACCATGGCAACGGGGGGTTGCTCAAAATTGCCAAAAATCACTATTTTGCATTGTTTTTTCCCATCAAAACTGATTTCAAAGTGCAACTTCGCAATGAATTCAGATGAGTAAAAGGCTTTTCAGCGTCGGTTACTAGTTACCGTTAGATCGACCTGCGGCCATTTTTAGCCTGTCACATGTCCAAAATTTTCTTGGCGATGAGGGGACTACCCTTTAAACCCCGCAAACAGAAGGGGGTACATCCCCCTTCATGTAACATTTGGATGGGGGCGGCGCCGAAAAAGTGGTCACTTTTTTAACAACATTTCTCAAACGAAAAACAGTGTTTGGGGCCTAAATAGGGCATTTTTCACTGTTTGAGGCCTCAAAAAAGAAGGGGTACAAACAGCCGTCAAAACACGTCTATATCAGGGAAAGGGTTAACAAAAAATGATGAAAACCCTTGAAATTACCCAAAAACTAGTTTTTCCATGTAAACACGTGCCCTTACATCTAAATATGATGAAAAATTGTTGTTTTTTGACATTTTTTATTTTTTTAATTAACAAAAAATGATGAAAAACCTTGGAATTACCCAAAAACTAGTTTTTCCATGTTAACACGTGCCCGTTCACCTAATTTTGGTGGAAAATTGTTGTTTTTTTTGACATTTTTTATTTTTTTAATTAACCTTTGACCCCATGAGCATATTGCGAAAAATGGCCGTTTTCATTGAAAAGCCTCCTGTAACAAGTTCAAACTGCTATGAAACTATGAAAAATGCTTCAATACTGATGAAACTTGGCACAAATGTTGACTAGACCACAGCCTCTGTAACAGCATGCTTAATCGTAAATTTCCTGTTACCATGGCAACGGGGGGGCGTCTCAAAATTGCCAAAAATCACTATTTTGCATTTTTTTCCTTCAAAGTGCAGCAACTTCTCAATGAATTGAGATAGAGCAAAAGGCTTTTCAGCGTCTGTTACTAGTTACCTTAAGATCGACCTGAAGCCATTTTTAGCCTGTCACATGTCCAAAATTTACTTGGCGATGAGGGGGATTACCGCCTTCAAACACCCCAAACAGAAGGGGGCACATCCCCCTTCTGGCAATCCCCTGGTGTAACATTTGATGGGGGCGCCGCCGAAAAAGTGGTCACTTATATTTAACAACACATCTCGTACGAAAAACAGTGTTTGGGGCCTAAATAGGGCATTTTCACTGTTTGAGGCCTCAAAAGGGGTGGGGGGGGGACAAACAGCCGTCAAAACACGTCTATTTCAGGGAAAAAGTTAAAGAATACACATGACAAGAATAGTACATATGGCTGTTTACCCAAATGTCTTTTCCAAAATACCCATACTTCCATTTACCTGTGTCCTTTAGCATAATACTATCTTATAACTATAACTATCTTATATTTATGTTAAGGATATTATTCACTGTTGTTTATTTAAAATAAATCAATGACAATTTAGGTTGCATGGATTTGATCATATTTTTTTCTTTATCAGGTAAGCCTTGTAACGTATGTTATTTGTACACTGCCTCTTCCTTGCCAACACTTGTAAGTTTCTCATAATAGAACAGGCTGTACATCTCGAAACACTGGTACACAATTTAATAATAATAATAATAATAATAATAATAATAATAATAATAATAATCATAATAATAATAATAATAATAATAATAATATTAATGATGATGATGATGATGATGATGATGATGATGAGGATGATGAAAACTTTATTTAAAGGGGCAACATAGTTTGGCAAGTTCAAGCTTCATTTTGAGTCTCTATCAAAATGTACATATAGTATACATGTACAGTTCAAACAAATGATTTATATAAAGATACATATTGTTTATCTAGTATTAAAATGATTTTGCATATATTCAGGGAGGAGAGTGTTTAGGGACTTATATAACAAAATGGCCTTTTTGTAATTTACTCTCAGAGAATTTTATAAATACAGTTTAATTAAGAAAACAAGTAGAGGTTTTGATGCTAAAGCATCAAGTCGCCGGATAGAAAAATGATTGTATTATCATAAATATAATGAAATATCAGTTTAATTAATGGTTCAAGTATAAAGAAAAAAGGAACAATATGTTGAGTACCTGTTTATTCACAATAAACATCACATTTGAAGCAATCTTGCTTAGCAATACTGTCAAGGAACTGTAATAATTATTAAATAAGCAAGTATTGTTTGAAAATATTGACCTGAGAGTCATTAATTTTCGGGAGGTGTTTCGTTAGTTTACGTAACTTATGATTAATGCTAAAATGTTATTGATAGTATA